TGATTCTCTTCCTAATTTGGGGACTTCGTTGTGCCTGAGGTAGGTCTAAGCGACAAACAGACTTGGAGAAAATTGATGCCAACGTTTGCTTCGTTTCATTAGTGCGGAAATAAGCTGAAACAATCTCTTACTAAATCGACAAATAATAAAATCACTAGTGACATTAAGCCTTATTACATCGAATTCTAATCTAAGCTAGAAAGCGGTAAAGAACATCATCTACCTTGTCCCTGAAGGACCTTCTCCATGCTTGGCTCTCTTGACCCCATCAATCATGTTTCCCAGATTGTGCATGTCCAGCAATAAGTAAGCCTTTGCCAGCTTTCCTCCTTCATTGTCATTCATACCTTGACAATCCTAAAGTCTCTTTCTCATCTTCTCTTCTAGCTATATTAGTCCTTGATCTAAGTATTCTAACCTCTGTGTTGACTTAGTGGCAATCTCTTTCCATTCCCTTATTGCCTCTATGTTTACTTTGTGCTGCTCCAGATGCTTAACTTCGGACTCGAACACCCTTTTGTGTAGCCTCTTGTACTTCACCTATGCCTCAGCCACTTCACCTATGATCCTATCGTTTAGATTGACTCCTGGTTTGACGTCCTCAGCTATGTCGTCTTCCAGCCATGATAAATAGTAGTACATATGGCTGGCGTGATACCTGTCTGGCTCAATAGTTTCTCCTTCCACAATGATCTTTTGGTTCCACATGTGTTGCGTTTCGAACTTGAATGGGATGACATCTCCCTCAAAATCAGCCTTGTACTGGACCATGTTGGAAACCCAAGGTATGACTTGTTTCCTTCCAGCTTGCCTCATTATCCTTATAGGAGTGTAAGGGTAGATGTCTCGTAGCCCGATCAGTACCGAGTGAGTAGTCTCTTTTGACCTGATGATGAATTCACTACTAGGAAACCACTCAAACATCCAATGCACTTGCTCATTTTTTAGATTGCTGAAGAAACGCACCCAACTCACAGCATTTCCAGGCTTTGCAAACCTGTCTGGAATAAACGTCATTTTCTTCGGGTGATGATTGGCTATGTAGTCATTCAGTGGCCTTCGCAGAAGCTGTTGATGATACTCACCTCTCTGAAAGTATTCCAACATCCAGACTTGTAGCAATAGATTGCAACCCTCAAAGTGCCTGAATCCATGCTTGCACTGATCCAGAGAACGGTATATCTCAGCTAAGATCATTGGGACGATAGTATAAGCTTGTTCCTCGATGCCATCCATTAAGGTCCTGGTGACTATGGCTAGGCGAGTGTGAATCCTTCCTCCTTGCATCGGAAAGATCAACAACCCCAAGAAGCAGACAATAAAAACATAAACCCGGCGATGCACCCATCCTAAAGAAGCAATGGCTAGCTCATCTTGATAAAGACGATATGATTTGTTGTGCCCGTAGCGCCCGTAAAGAAACTCAATAGGGATGTATGATTTCTTTAGACAGAGTAGTTCATCATTCTTCTTAAAAACCCAACATTTTCAGAAAATCACGGGAGTGTGATTTTCTGACACTAGCAGTCCCGGACTATCCCATAGTAACTTGACGAAACCCCCTATTTCTTCTAGGAGAGGAGTCATTTCTATATTGCCAAATCGAAAAATAACTCTTTTCTCGACCCAGAACATATTAGCGGCCTCAATCAATTCCCTATTTGGTTGAATGTTCAGCAAGGACGGGAGGTTGCCCAATACTCTCCTCACATGATTTTTATCACAAGGTGCGAGGTCTTTTCACCAGTCAATTAGCAATGGCGGGATAGTTTGGACCATACCGAACCTAGAGACTTCGTGCTTCATTTTCTGCAAACAAAAAAAAGTTAGCCTTTTCCCCCTTCCAGATTCGACTATTTACATATTACGATCAGCATGTTGACACATTTTCTCCAAGTAATGCACATAACATGATAGTGTCCTTTGGGATTATGGAAATCCCGTCAGACTTTGGACAAGGTTTTATCTAAGTGGGTTGTTACGTCAATGAAGTCTCAATCCGTACTAGGTTCAGCATGATGCATGTACATTTCAAATCGGAGTGTGGTTTCTAGAAGAGTCTATACTGGTACTCTCAAGTGGACAACTTGAGAGAGAAAGGCACGGGGACCATCGACTGCACCGCTGATCGACTAGCCTACCGCAAATAAGCCTTTCCGGTTTAAAATGGTATTTTCAGGAAAGTGCGGACGCTCATCAAGAGCCACTATGTTGATAATAAGCACGAGTGGAGTATGATGTGGAGCATGCTTTATGCAGAAATAGTAACCAGTTGTCAAGTATTTGCACGATAAAAATGCATAAAACAGTAAATAATATGGTAAATATGAACAGGAGAAGGAAAAGAAGAGAAAAGTAGAGAAAAGAAGAGAAAAGAAAAGAAAGGCAAAAAGAGAGAAGTCAGTTTAACTCATGAAAATATGCGAGAATTTAATGAAGCACATAGAGAAATAGGGATGTGAGAGTCATGATATAGCAGTCTTAGACAAGATGAGGGAAACGGGGAGAGGAAGTACATATCACAGCAAATAAAGGGAAATAAGGGAGGGGATGTACATATTATAGAAAATTAAACAAATAAAGGAAGATAAGGGAAATGATGTACATGTCATAGAAAATTAAACAAATAAAGGAAGATAAGGGAAATGATGTACATGTCATAGAAAATTAAACAAATAAAGAAAGATAAAGGAAGGGATGTACATGTCATCAAATATATCCGTTAATCCACATAAGTCAACTTCGTTATGGTAAGATCCTAAGTATAACTCCCTAGCAGAGTCGTCATGATGTCGCGCCCCGTTTTGTCATGAAGGCGGGCTTCGACATGTGACAACTCTTTTAAGAGAGGTATTAAAAGAGAAGAGTAGCCACCTAACGATTTTTAAGGTGCGTTAGAGCACCTATTTGCAAATAAGTCTGTTTGATCAGTCTACGTCACCAAAGATCGGGTAAGGGCTCAAATTACCTCAAAGAGAAGGTGTTAGGCATTCTTCAAGATCCACAACTGTGGGTCTCGGCCGAAATTTAAACTATGTGGATTAGATGATTAGGCTAGGCGATCAAACAAGCGATGAAAGGTATAAAAGTTGAAGACTTTATTATAACACATAAGAATAGATGATCAATACAAATCTTAAAGGTTATAAGGGTACAACGGTATTAGCCTATGTTAAATGACTAAGTGTGAATAACAAGTATATAAAGAAAGGGGGGGAGGGTCCTAAGTTTTTTTAGCCTAAAGGATCACCCCGTGCAACATAAATAATACTTCGCAACTCCCTTAAGGTAGGGGTTGCTCATATTATTCAGCGGGCACAAACTATCATCTCCTGCTACCCGATCACTGTGTTGAAATCATTACTTAAGGCGTTCTAGTTCAATTCTAAACCGTATCCTATGCGTGCGCTACCCGTCCCATACCTATGGTCCAGGAGGCTTTGGACCTACTGTAAGGTGGTTCTAAACTCAACTTAGGTTACTCAAAATGAGAAATCTATGCAACATTCAAAACAGATAGGACTTCACGTAAAGACAATTAAAGGCCCAAGTTAGCCTCCACACATAGACAGCAAATGCACGCGGCAGAATAGGCAGTAGATGGTTTCGAAATTAAGACTTAGAGTCATATAGACATGGTTTCTAGGCGATTCTGAATTCCAACATCGTATGTACGACATTATTGCTCTCAATGGCTTAGGCGAGGAGGCAGTAAACTGTTTGTAAACTCAGAATTATCAGCGCTGATTTTATAAATATATGTCTAGGCAGATGACAGAAGACAACATAAGTTCATGCATGAGCCATTATTCAACAAAAGAATATAGGTAACATGCGGCAACCAGTCAAACATTACTTAAAGCGTTCTAGTTCAATTCTAAATTGTATCCTATACGTGCGCTACCCGTCCCATACCTATGGTCCAGGAGGCTTTGGACCTACTGTAAGGTGCTTCTAAACTTAACTTAGGTTACTCAAAATGAGAAAGCTATGCGACATTCAAAACAGATAGGACTTCACGTAAAGACAATTAAAGGCCCAAGTTAGCCTCCACACATAGACAGCAAATGCACGCGGCAGAATAGGCAGTAGATGGTTTCGAAATTAAGACTTAGAGTCATATAGACATGGTTTCTAGGTGATTCTGAATTCCAGCATCGTATGTATGACATTATTGCTCTCAATGGCTTATGCGAGGAGGCAGTAAACTGTTTGTAAACTCAGAATTATCAGCGCTGATTTTATAAATATGTGTCTAGGAAGATGACATTGTCCTATAGGCATGGTTTCTAGTCCAGCATTAACAACATTGACCTCATGAACAAATTTAAGCGAGTGGCAATATCTTATAGGCAGGATTTCTAACAATTAACAATCATACTTTATTTTTTATAACCATACATGAACTCATGCCAAGCCCAACAAATACAGATTGACCACTTAAACCAATTAATGAAGCACACATGAAAATAAATTAAACACCCCCAAAGCAATGCCTCATAGAGACAAGATTATATGACACTTAGCAAGATTCACCTAAAACACATGGGCATTTCAGAAAGCAAGAGTGACAGGATTGATTAGGCAAAGAACAAGAGAATTAGGAGAATCAATAGGGCTTAATCTTCAACAAGGGGTTTTTACACAGAAGACAACATAAGTTCATGCATGAGCCATTATTCAACAAAAGAATATGGGTAACATGCGGCAACCAGTCAAACACTAGAAAACTTCATATGCATATTTACTTAGGGTGAACACATACAATGCCAAGTTTCAGAAACAAAGCTTAAAGCATGATCTAGAACTAGTTGGGGAGACTTTAGCTAAGAGACTTAATATGAGAACATGGCAGAGTCATAGACAAGAACAAGTGGGATACAATAGCATGTCTAACATATAACCCTATTGAGAGTAGCATAGCATAACAGAGTCATGAGCAAATACTTAATGTGAGATAACTTTAACATGCTAAGTATCAGTCGATACCGGGAGCACTTATGGTAAACAAGCAACATGTCAATTTCAGATTAACAGGACAGGTAAGCATCGAACTTTGTACTAGTTGGCCACACATAGGAGAAAGGCCAGGCATGGGGTTTACCCTAAGGTCTCAAACAGTACTGAAGAGCACATGATTGCATAAGTCAAAACATACAGTATAACTTAAATGGTATGGAAATAGGCCTTAGCTAATTAATGCAATCTCACAAACTTAGCAGGTTGGACATGAATGAATCAACAAGTCTGAAACATATGCATTAATTTATCATAAAGATATAAGACAAGGCAGGGAACACACATTAGTTTACAAGTGGTAGGGAAATCATGTTTAGGCTAATAACATGATCAGTAGTTAACTCTAGAAAAGTATTAAGTTACATATGAATGATTCAACAAGAATTAAAACAGGTTCTGGGCATGACTCGACTCTTCACAAGAGTACAAAACAAGGCAAGAATCTAAACTCAGAATAAGCAATCGAACACACACATTAGAGCAAACAAGCTTAAGAAAACACAATCAAGGTAACAAATAGGCAAATTCGATTACTAGAAGGTATAGAGCCTCAAGAAGAGCTTCAGAGTATACAATAACATGTTGATTCATAAAAATCTCAGAGACATAGATATGCAGAACAAGACCTCAAACGAAAGAGAATGGAATTGCAAAGGTCACTTTACCAGTTACAGATTAATGAACAAGTAAACACGAGGAATAATTTCAGCAATACTCTAGTGTCAATAGAAAAACGAAACAGTAGAACCCATGAATCTCAGTGCGTCAGAGTTCCCAAGGGTTTCGAATGAACCCCGGGCAAGTGCTCACACTGAGAAAGGTTCGATAATCGAATTCCGGCGGCCTTGGCTTTCCGTCTGCCAAGAAATTGAGCCCTAGAGTAGTATAAGATAAATAAGAATAAGAGAGTAGTAGTAATTTTCAGCGATTCCGCCCTCATTCGTGGAATTAGGGGAGAGGTTTATATAGTGGCAAAATTAAATACACAAACAAGGAAAAACAGTCATTTAAACATAAAAAGGAAAGAATAACATGCAAAATCGATTCAAAATCAATTTAGGAGGAATCAGGCAAATCCTAGTTCAAAACGGAGAACAAAAATAGTAAGCAATTTCACTGAATTGGACCCATATGGCCTGGTAGTGAGTGTATCACGTCAGGAACATAAAGATAGTACAGAATCAGAATTGATCGAACACCAATGACTCGACTTCCATAAAATATCGAGTACCAAATACTTGTAATGTTTAGGAGATGGTAAGAATCTCCGTGTGTGCAAGAAAGGAAAGGAATCATGGAAGATTTCCATATGATATCGGATTGGGACTGGAATTTGAGTGGGGGCGGCTAGGGTTTCTTGTAGAGAGGAGAGGACGAGAGGATTTTAGGGCTACGGTCTCAGGGAAATGGGTGTTAGGGTTTGGGGTTGGGTAGTTTAAATATGGGTGATGACTTGTGGGTCGTTGATCTCAGAGATCAACGGCTGAGATAGAAAGAAAGAGCGGGGTGAGCTGTTTAAAACGGGTACCGACCTAATTAAAGGGGTTGTATGGTTTGGGATGGGGGATTGGGCTAAAGGTTTTGGGAGTTTGGGCCATTAAATTGGTCTGTATTGGCTCCAAATTGGGCTACAAATTAAATACAAAAAACTATAAAAGAAAATTTATAAGAAGTAATTAACAAATAGTAAAAATATTATTTATATAGTAAGATGCTTTAAAATAATAGTTTAACATTATAAAAAAATAAAAATGCTATGTGGGCACAAATAATTTAATAAAATATAATTATTCACATCATATAGGCTATTACTGCAAAATTATGTAAAATAGCTTAAAAATACAAATATGATTATATAAAATAAAGTAAAATATTATGAAACATATATGTGGATGAAAATAATAAATTTGGATGATTAAGGCCTCACAAAATAATTTAAAGGGGTAATTAATAATTTAAAATGCAAGAAAATTAATTTTAAAGCTTAAAAGAATTATGGAAAATAATAGAAAATACTTATTTGACCCCTATAAATTGAGAAATAATGTAAAAGTATATGGAATACTTTATAAAATATGAGAATAAAATTGGGTATCAACAGACTTCGACAGCGAACTGCATTAGGGAAGGTGCTATAGCGGTGTTAGGGGTCACAAAGGGTTTCTCCAGGGGGTCACAAAGGTGACTGGTGGTGGAATGGAGAGGTCCAAGGTAAAGTAGAAGCCAAGAAAGTGGCGTATATAAAGCTAGTAGAGAATGCCGAGGAGGAGGAGGAGAGGAGGACGCTTAGGGAGTGTTATAAGAAGGCTAAAAAAGAGGCGAAGCTAGCGGTCACGACGACTAAGGCCACAACATTTGAACGCCTGTATGTGGAAATTGGGGGAAGAGGCAGTGACAAAAGATTGTTTAGGTTAGCTAAGGTTCGAGAAAGGAAAGCTTGGGACCTAGACCAAGTGAGGTACATCAAAGATGAGGATGACAAGGTATTGGTGGAAGAGGCGTGCATTAGGCACATGTGGCAGTCATACTTCCACAAACTCTTGAATGAGGATAGGGACTGGAACATTGTGCTTGGCGAGTTGGAGAACTCAGAGAACAGACATGATTTTAGGTTTTGTAGGCATATTAAGGTTAAGGAAGTAATGCAGAAGATTAGTAGAGGCAGGGCGACTGGGCCAGACGAGATACCAGTACAATTTTGGAAGGCCGTGGGACGGGTAGGCTTGGAGTGGCTTACTGGACTGTTTAATGTCATTTTTAGGACTAAGAAACTGCCTGAGGAATGGAGGTGGAGTTTGATATTCCCGTTGTACAAAAACAAGGATGATATCCAAAATTGTAACAACTACAGGGGTATCAAGCTACTGAATCACACTATGAAAGTGTGAGAGAGGGCGGTGGAGAGGAAGGTGAGGATGAGTGTGTCTATCTCAGAGAATCAATTCGGTTTTATGCCGGGGCGTTCGACCACAGAAGCCATTCATCTTGTGAGGAGGTTGGTGGAGCAATATCGGGAGAGTAAGAGTGATTTGCATATGGTGTTCATCGATTTAGAAAAAGCTTACAATAAAGTCCCAAGGGAGATTTTATGGAGATGTCTGGAGGTTAGTGGGGTTCCGGTAGCGTACATTAGGATGATTAAGGATATGTATGATGGAGCGAAGACTCGGGTGAGGACTATGAGAAGAGACTCGGACTTTTTTCCTGTGATGATGGGGTTACATCGGGGTTCAGCTCTTAGCCCATTTTTATTTGCCCTGGCGATGGACGTGCTGACGCGCCACATTTAGGGAGGGGGGATGCCATGGTGTATGTTATTTACAGATGACAAATTGCTAATCGAGAGACACGTTGCGGGGTTAATAATCGGCTGGAGCTGTGGAGGCAGACCCTAGAGTCTAAAGGTTTCAAGTTGAGTAGGACAAAAACTGAATACTCGGAGTGCAAGTTCCGTGTGGGGATGCAGGAAACAGAAGCGGAGGTGAAGCTTGATACACAAGTCATCCCCAAGAGAGATAGTTTCAAATATCTTGGGCCTGTTATTCAGGGGAACGAGGATGTTGCGCATTGTGTTGGAGTGGGGTGGATGAAATAGAGGTAGAGGGAGATCTAGTAAGTATTGGGGAGAGGTAATTAGGCAGGACATGGCTCTACTTCAGCTTACCGAAGACATAACCCTCGATAGGGAGGTGTGGAGGTCGAGGATTAGGATTGTGGGTTGACAAGTAGTCGAGAGTCTCTTCTAGTCGTATTAGTTGTACTAGTACTAGTCTTGTATTCTCCTATTCCGAGTTCCTTGCTGATTAAACGATGTGGCATTATTGCCAATAGTTTTCGCACTTCTCTTATAGCTTCGTATCCCTAGTTCTCTGCTATTACATAATGTGCTATTTGTTTCTTTTATCTTATTTCATTGCAATTGTTAATATTGGTTTATTGTGTCCTTGCCACTATTCTTGAGCCGATGGTCTATTGGAAACAACCTCTCTTCCTTCATAAGGTAGGAGTAAGGTTTGCGTACACACTACTCTCTATAGACCCCACATGTGGAATTGCACTGGGTTTGTTGTTGTTGTCGTATATTTGATCTCTTTGTGCATATTTCGAGAGTTTATGGAATTGCTGAGATAACCTCAATTTTCGAGATATTCTTTAGGGGAATATGTAACCCCTTTTATAGGAGTGACCTAGGGTTAGGCTAGAGTAGCCTTCAAGTTAGGGTTTTGGTAGGGTAGCCTACAAACAACCCTAATAGACTCCTAGAATTTTAAAAGTCATCTTGTAGTATTTTGAATTTAGAATTTATGCTGATCCGTTGATGTCTACGATATAATCCTCATATTATAATTCCAATATGATTTTATTGTGATTCAAACATTGGCTATGTTTTAATATGGATGCCACTGTACTCCTGTAACTATATGAATATTCTGAAAGTATGGAGCTTTAATTTTGCCGAAGTGTGCCTCCTTATTTACTTATAATGTAAATTATTACGCTATCATCTACTTTAATAGACTACAACATAGGAGTATTATTTATGAAATGCTATATATTTATGTTACCAAGATTACTATATATTGACATTTATATTTTGTTGTAAGTCATCTAAACGCAATACTATTAGTGGAACTAAAGAACGCGTCTTAAGTTTCAGTGCTCATCAAGTAACTACATAAGTTTCGTTTTGGCTGACTAAAGAACGCGTACGTCTTAAGTTTCTACATAAGTTTCGTTTATTCCTTATAGGACTAGGACTAGGTTATTCCAACGTTAAATAGGCCCTAATTAAACCAAAAAATCATATGTTCATTCTTTAATTGAGCTTCTCAAACCCTATTGATCACTTTCGCTCTCTCTCTCTCTAATCTCGGAGAAATCACTCACACATAAAACAGAGTATTGTAAAGGTCAGTAATGGATACTGACGTGTTACAACGGGGGCTGATGGGTCGTCGTCGTCCTTCAAAAGATTACAGTAAACAACATACTACTAAAAAAGTAGTAGTATGTAAACATTGGATGGCTGGCAATTGTAATAGGTTTACATGTCAATTTCTACATAGCAGAGAATTAGTGGCACCATTACGGCCAAAGCAGCAGCAGCAGCAAGATGCAAAGCGGTTTTCCGATTATCATAACCCGAAGAAGAAGATTTACAACAATTATACATGGCGGAGCAGTAGTAGTAGCAGTACTACTACCAGTGGCGGATCCAGGATTTGATGGCTACGGGTGCCACTATTTTAATGTAAAACGACCACTAGTGAAGAAGATTGAATTAGGGTGTACATTCAGTCGATTCGATCCGTTTTAGATTACTTCGGTTCGGTTCGGTTCGATCCATTTTGAATTTATTCAATCCAATTTAAAATTTATTTTATGCATAAACGAATATGCGATACACCCCTTCCATCTACATGTAGCTGATTAGTATTATATTATGTCTTTGATGCATCGCTATTTAAAAAAATTATAATTAATAAAATAACATTATATGGATAAAAAGAAAATGATTACATCCATCCAAATAAAATACGAACATCCAGAAAAATGAATATTTAAGATGAAGAAAATAAGAGAAATTAACAAAAAGAATAAAAAGGGAACAACAATTGCATCAGGAGAGTCTTGATCCCGGGTGTTGTGCATGAAATTTCAGCACTTCAACCATGGCACCTTTAGTCATTTTATGACTTGGGGTGTCACTTGTTCGTTATGTAGGTGTTTTTGTGGAAAATACTAGTATGTATATAAAACTTTATCCGAGTGACCGGGTGGCGTTCCACCCCCAACTCAATACATAGATCCGCCCCTGACTACTGCTACTACTGCGGCTGGTGGTGGTGGAGTAGTTGTGACGAATAATAATAAGACGGAGAAAGCTGTTTGTAAATATTGGGTTAAAGAGAAGTGTACCTATGGAAACAGCTGTAAGTATTTGCATTCCTGGACTACAGGGAATTGCTTCAAATTGTTGGCGCAACTCCAAGGGCACGAAAAAGTTGTTACGGGGATTGCTCTGCCCTCAGGTTCCGATAAGCTTTATTCGGGGAGCACGGACAAGACTGTGCGATTGTGGGATTATCATACTGGAACAGATGCAGGGGTCATCAATTTAGATGGTGAAATTAGTTGTATGTTAACTGAAGGGCCGTGGATTTTTTGGGGGTTACCTAATTTTGTCAAAGCAAGAAACACTCAAACAGGAACTGTCCTTAGCCTTAATGGACCAGTTGGACAAGTCTATGCTCTTGCCTTTGATGACAATAATCAAATGCTCTTTGCTGGTACAGAGGAGGGACCGATATTAGCCTGGAGATTTGTTAATGGGAGTAGTTTTGAACGAGCTGCAACATTGATAGGACACACACATCACGTGGTATCGTTGTTTGCTGGAGCGGGCAATAGATTGTATTCGGGTTCCATGGACAAGTCAATAAGAGTATGGAACCTTGAAACGTTTCAGTGCCTACAAGTATTGACAGATCATACAAGTACAGTTATGTCTATTCTTTGTTGGGAAGACTTTGTTTTTATCATGTTCATTGGACAAAACAATAAAGGTTTGGGTTGCTAACGAGAGCAGGAATTTGGAGGTTACATATACTCATCAAGAGGAAAGTGGTGTGCTGACTCTATGTGGTGTGCATGATTCAGAAGCAAAGCCTGTGTTGCTGTGCTCTTGCAGTGACGCATCTATGATTTGCCTTCCTTTTCGGAGAGGGGGAGAATATTCTCTAAGCAGGCTGTCCGGCGCATTGAGATTGGTCCTGGTGGTTTACTTTTTACCTGTGATGAATCAGGTCAGGTTAGAGTCTGGAAGTGGTTAACTGAACATCAATCCAGCAGCACAACTACAGCCTGAGATTGGGTGCGCTAGCTGCATTTACAAAGAGACACTGTATTTTTTAGCACTACTGTCTTCTGTTTTTCTTTTCCTGTTGAGGAAATGTATATATGTACCAATTGTAAGCAAGAATACGAATACCAGTTTTGATTTTTCAGAGGTAGTACCTCTTAATATATAGCCTTGCCGTTTTGAGGCTTTAACTAGCATTGATCTCTTAAATCGTTTTTTTTTTCTTCTGGTTTTTATACTTGTATGCATATAAATCTAATCTGGAGGATACTGATGGTCCGTCCCGTATTGTTTTTTCACTGAGTTATGAATGTAGCTCAAATAGTCTCGTGTACTCTTGAATAAGTTTAGTCATGTTATGCGTTTGTGTTCTTGGCCCTCTTTGCTTGACGTTGGTCTACCACTCCAATCCCAAGTTTGGACGAATTCATTGTTGTTTTAGTTGATCGTGACTTAGTTTCATGTCCTACACTTGTTTATTTTGGTAATGGAAGCTTTTAGTTAGATGTTGCACTAATTAATTTGTTCTGTATAGCTAAGATCATATCAATGGCTTCAAAGTAAACGGAGGAGGAAATCATGCACTTGAAATATCCCATACACTGTATGCTGACAATACATTAGTAATGGGTGATGCAAATGAGGTTTAATTAAGATACTTGAGAGTGGTCTTGGTGTTTTGAGGCAACATTGGACTACATATTATAGTTTAGCAAGGGATTATAGAAAAGGTGGAGAAGAAATTAGCCACCATAACCACCCAAGGGTTGTGGCCTAGTGGTCAATGAAGTGGGTGAGAACCATGAGGTCTCAGGTTCAAATCCCAGCGGAGGTAAATACTAGGTGATTTCTTCCTATCTATCCAAGCCTTGGTGGATAGAGTTACCTGATACATGTTGCTGGTGGGAGGTGGCAGGTATCCCGTGGAATTAGTCGAGGTGCGCGCAAGCTGGCCCGGACACCACGGTTATAAAAAAAAAAAAAAAAATTAGCCACCATAATTAAAGATAGAGTGGTAAAAATAAA